CAAGCACCCTCTTTCCTTTTATTTTTGGAAAGAAAACCAGAATTGGAAAATAAATTACAAATAAAATGTAAAAAGAATATTTCTTGTACTTAATTAAGTAAGCATCGTGCCGTGAAGGCATAAGGTGGAGTGGATGTATAGATCCAAGTTTTATTGGCCTCGGCACTAGTTGAAAGTGAGTTGACAGCTTCACGCCCCGGCTGCTTTACCCCCAAGGAAAGAGCACCCCATTACCCACTGTATATGAGGCTGGGTGTGCCTCAGATCCTGTATGGATGACATGGAGAAGAGAAATTTCTTGCCCCTACCGGAACTCACTTGCTATACCGACTGCGCTATACATGTCCTCCATCTAGGGGAAACATTTTTCTTTTACAGAATGAAGGACACGTATCAGATATTAATACCAAATTTAAAATTGCGTCAGTTATTGTTCCTCTTTCCCGAATACTTCAGGGCGATAGGTAAAAGCAGTTTTAAACTATTTACACGTAATCATGTAAGCAAATTCTCTGGCTGTATCGGTTTGGAAAGAGACTGCTATCGTTTGGGGGTGAAAACCCTCATGCAGGCGCCTATACTTCGTGGCCTAGTTCAGAAGCACTACAGCAGTATTTATCTGGAGAAACTACGGACAAGTAGGAAAATCTCAGTTAGGTTAGTCGGTGGGTGCCAGCTGAGACCAATACACATCCACAGAGTGACCGCTAAACCACCCGCTCCGTGACGCTGTGTAAGATGGTAGATACGCACTAATATTTCTGATGGACCTGCTGTCAACATCTTCAGGACTGAAGTAATATGGCTACAGTCGGTCCCTCCGCAATATTTGTGCCTCCTACACGGCGTCCCATCCCAAAATACCATAATTATAACGCGTTAACATTAAAAAAAGGGGGGAGGGGTACGTGTAGAAGAAAAACTTTACAAACGCCATCAGATCTGACGTTCTCCGGGCATTGTCTGTGCCTACCTGAACAACTTGCCGTCATAAATTCCTGTTACCAGTAACCGGGTATGTGACGCCGTGTAGTCAGGCAAATAGTTATCTTCATCTTCCTTGCATCATATCTAAGTAGTGACGCCGTGCAGGCTGGTAAAGAGTTACCGCCATCTTACCTTCTAACTGAATTGAAGCAACAGTTTTTCCGAAATTCTAGTAATTATATACCAGACTACACGTCGTCACACCCCAGAGAACAGCGTATTTTTAAAACCACAGCTCTGGAGGTCCAGATTCATTCCCACCGCCAGGTATCGTGTATTGTATTCAATTCAATTCAATTGCCTTCAATTGTTATATAGAGGCAATAAGCAAGGATTTTATGTCGTAATGGAGTTTATGTACCCTCATAAATATAAGTTTAAGAGCCCTTAGGTCAGGTTTGCAAGAAGAAGTTGGCTTTAAAATGCTAATTCAGTAATGAATTCATTTCGCGTAAAGACACGAGTTAAATCATAAACATGCGCTTCGTGCAAACATACATGCCGTCTTTCTACAGGTGTAGTCACTCCTACGATGCGTTTCGGTCATTAAATGAACATTGTCACGTGTGCATACACAAAATTATACAGAGAACAGAAGACTTGCGAAAAGTTAAATTTAATAACAAAATTATCACATTTAATTAATGATTACAATCCGTCTTAGAACTGCATAAAACGAATATTAAAATAAATCCCTTCTAAGTATATACGAGTCACATCAGAAACAGAGTTTGTAAAATAGTATAAAGTGAACATTTATTAAATAACACGAGCAGGATGGAAAATTACAGTATGAAAAACGGTGCAAAGACATTACAAATATATTCTCCTGTACGACTGATTTTAGCTTCGTTATATTGGAAACGAAATTGATTTTTGTTCTCTACACCATCTTCGGTTACTGACTATGTAAGCTTCGCGTAATCGCTTTGGTCCCTATTGTAGGTACCGCCATTTTCCTGAAGGTACTGCCTGTGTATTCTTACTTATGGAGATCGTCTCCATAAATTACTGAAATTTAATCATAATCGTTAAAGGCTCCCTTTTGTTTTGCAAGTCAGTTTGAAGGGCCCTTATTTTTGAGCCTAAATATTAATATTATCACGTTTCAGGGGTTATGACCATATACGAGGTATAGATTGGTAAATGGATTTTTGATCACTCGTATACACTACTCGGAACTATGTAGTTCAATGACACAGAGGCCAGTGTCCTCAGTCTATTACAGTCTCCACTAGCCGTTTCCTGGCAACGGCTCCTAACAATGGAGAGTCTTCAGCTTCCCGCACTCAGGTTCCCTTGTCACAAGGGGCTGTGCAGAACTCTTGTCAACTGACAACTCAACTAACTGGGTCCCAGGCTGGCGACCATTTCACACCAACACCCTAGCCTTCTCTTCACAGGCTGACTTCCAACTGAATTATCTCACTCATCAACCAGCTACTTCATATCACTTCACTCAACTGAACTTCTGACAACTCTTCAACTCCGGAACTCAACTGACCCTGCTTATAACACCTCGGCACGAACCACACAGAAAACACTTTTCTATTTTTATAATCCAACAACACCTCGACCACTGCATGTCTATCCATTGCAGTGGGAACCCGCAGTTGCCTAGCGATAGCCCGGGTACTGTTCACATGTTTAGCGGCCGTTACAAAGCAATGCATATTTCTTCTCGCGATCGTTGCATAGCAACAGCTACACACGCTACAATATTCATCAGGCACAGACACATGACGGACGAGCCCTTCAGTACTGAATATGAATAAAACTCGTGCAGTCGTTCAGGCGCTGTCGAGATGCATGTACATAGACCTACACAGAGAGACAGCATTCCAAAACGCAAGCTTTCCAATTCAGGAGGGCTGAAAATGTGCAAATTCGTCAAATCCTCGAGACTGATATTTTCTCCTAAGTGTACTTTCCCATGTACATCCCATGTATATTCACTCACTCACTCACTCACGGAACTGAGCCCTTCTTGAGGAGCCGCAAATTCTGCAGTTACTAAAGAATTTCCCAGCATTTTATGGAACCCGAAAGTTCATCACCGTATTCACAAGAGCCCTCCACTGGTCCCTATACCGAGACAGATCGATCCAGTCCATAATATCCTATCATATCTCTCTTAAGATCGATCTTAATATTGTCCACCCACCTGCATCTTGGTCTTCTTAGTGGTCTCTTTCCCTCTGGCTTTCCCACCAATATCCTATATGCATTAATCTTTTCTCCATTCGTGTTACATGCCCTGCCCATCTCATCCTCCTGAATTTATGATTCTAATTATACTTGGCGAAGAGTACAAATTACAAAGCTCATCATTATGCATACATATTAGGCATATTATAAAATAAAATTAATTACGTAATTTGTGTTCTTCCTCATAAAACAGGCGAATTCGGAGCGAACAGATTTGGATTAAATTCAGTATGCGAGGAACAAAGACTGAGAGTAAGATTTGTGGTTGTCACAGAGGTGAGTATTACCTTGTCGGATGTGATGTCGTGTAGTCTGGTGTAGTTCACCGACGTTTCGAATAAATGTACTGACTTCATCTTGGAGATCGACGATTAAGTTTTGCAAACAAACAAACATGTTTTCTTATTGTTAGTGGGGTGGGACTAAGTCCCTTCTACTGCGGCCACTTCTGGCCTATTGTACCAGCCCCAGATGATAGGTGAGGGTGATTGTGGAGCAATTGGTGGAATGAAGATTGGCAGGGGAAACCGAAGGACTCGGAGAAAACCTGCCTAAGCGCCACTTTGTCCACGACAAATCCCACTTGACCAGACCCGGGCCGCCGCTGTGGGAAGCCAGCGACTAACTGCTTGAGCTATAGCGCGGCCAAACAAACATGTAACTGCGCTTCACAAATTTATTATTCAGCCTTGTTTAGAAGATAAAGATTACAATAGTATGGTGCTATAACCGTCCAAGTCACCCCGACATCCTGCTTGGGCGGTGTTAGCTGAGGTGTGGATGGGTAAGGATAGGTAACTCAACTGGTAAAGTTTTCACTCTCCCTCAAGTGTCGCATTAGCGGGGCAACACACAGCTCATACACCACACGACAAGCCACAATTATGAGCTTCTACGGTAAACGTATTTATTTTACTTCGCCAGTTTTTACTCTTAACAATGAGTTACTTAATTGACGTAATGACGCGCTCTATTTTTCTCTCGCGTCAATTTAGCCACTACTCGTATTAATTTATAATAACGAACTTCCAACGTCGCAAAACACGTCCGTCGACCGGTGAAGTTCAAATAAAGAGCCCCTAGACTCGTACTAAGCGACGCATCAGCTCCAAGCAGTGGTGTTGGACGCTACCAAAAGTTCCTCATTGACAATTGGCTGGATTCGAACAGAGTTTTTTCACCCCTGCATCTAATATAGGCATTCCTAGCGGTTAAAACCAACGAAAGACACGTCATCCTACGCAAGGCATTTCAACGTCTGGAAGCCATCGGCCCCAGGATCAACCCCGACCGGCTGGGCCCCCTCTCAACTTCACTTACGGTGACAGATATTGCCGTAAGTTCAGATTTCTCGCTCCAAATCCCACAAAATAATTCCAAGCTCCGCGACATACTCGCTAACTTCAAGCCCAATTAATAAAAAAAGAAACACAAACGATTAAATACACGTATAGTTTTCAACTGTTACAGAAAATAGGTTCAACGTACATTCTGTCCTGAAGATGCAGGAAGTAGATGCCTTCGAAAGTTGGCAACTAACTATATAATTGCATGGCGTAGCAATCCAGAAGACCGCAGCATTAATAACCACCGTAGTGAGAACCTCACCTCCTCCGAAACGTCCGTAAATATGTACCAGACTACACGATATCATATCCCAAGCGACAGCAATCTTCATTGTTATAATCGGGATAACATGAAATATAATGATTCAAAAGTTATTTAAAAAAAAAACTGGCATTTATCTGTAAAATAAGGGAAGCAGACTGGAGACAAACACGGAAAGGGTTAAAACAGGCACTTACTGGGAAGGTGTCCGTTTGTCTTGACGTGTCCGTTGCTGTGGTGATTGCTCCGTAACGCCGGCACTGTCCCTTGCTGCTGCTGCTGGTTGTGGTGAAGCATGGTGATAATCACCAGTCCATAGTGTTATGTGGCATAAGGACACATATCTCAACATTCCACTTGCGGAATGTCTCACAACACAGGCACACACGCACTGTCCTCTCGACTCGACCTGCAAATCAGTAACTGGAATCACTACTGGAGCGAGTAGTTTCAATATCTTTAGCGTACGGAGCTCGAGTTCTGGACCTGCCCACTCTCATTAACATTTCCACTAATCGTTCCTAAGAAACATCAATTCGAATATACTCCTGAATCCTGCATATCACGAAACACAAATACTCGTTAATTTTAAATTCAAATCCAAGGCTATGTCATATCTCGGACCATTAACCTCCCCGGCTTCCCATCGCGGGGGGTAGTGAGAGACACTACATTGGGGGGGGGGGGGGGAAAAAAAACATAACTCCTTTTTTAANTCCTATTTTGAAGGTTCCCAGGCAGTGCCCGCTTGTCCTTCTGGTATAGGTAGAGCATACAATCGGATTTTTTTAAAATATTTTTATGACGCTGGAAGGGGTGCATTGTAGTAAAATTTTTGCTAGCGTTGTGAGGGCTATTTTAGGGCGAAATTTTGATGTTACCAATAGGAGGGCTTCAAGCGAGGCATGCAGTACAACGTGGAATTTGGGTACCAACTCAGCATTTGCTCTAGAATCGAGGAAAACCTTGGTCGAGTTGGGCAAATGGTTCTCACTAACTGTCCTGCTTATAATAACTCGGCACGGACCTCACAGAAAACACCGCTCCATTATTGTTGCATCCAATTGTTGCCGTGAGAACATGCTTGTCTGCGAAGCCGTTACTCAGTAACGGCTGCCTCTCCTGGCTTCACAATTCCTGCTTGGAGCAAACATGCCACAATATGAATTTATGCCCGTTATACGGTTTTCTCGTTTCTCTGCATCCACGCTCAGATCTGAATACCTGCAGGACACCTGTATGCAGACCCTATAAAACTACCCAGCGTAACAGAAAAACTTGTATATTAGAATGCTGTTACCGGAGCGGAACGCGATACTAAAGGAACACACTGACATGACAGTAACCAACCTGTTCTTAGCTTTCCTTTATCTGATACACGCGCACTTCCTCATCCGCTTGCATCGTTCCTAAAGAAGTCCATTGTAAGCACACGTGTGTTGAGACTTGGTCTCTCGTTCTGAAGGAAGTACAGGGATTCAGGGACCAAACATGTTAATTTTAATTCGCTTAGTGGAGGGTGGAGTCCAACTGGGGCCACTCGGCACGGCGGCCACTGATTGGCCTACTGTACCTGCCCCGGGTGATTATGATGACGGAGAATTTGGTGGAATAAAGATTGGCAAGGGAAACCGAAGTACTAGAAGAAAACCCGCCCCAACGCCACTCTGTCCACCACAAATCCCATTTAACCAGACCCGGGATCGAACCCGGGCCGCCGCGGTGGGAAGTCAGCGACTAACCGCTTGAGCTATGGCGCGGCAACGACCAGACATTTTGGTTAAAGCGGTAAAATTTTACTTGGGAGATAATGGGTTCAAACCTTGACCTGGACGCATATTATCCTTAATGAGGTGCCGCGTGTTTTCCTTCAGTCCCTCTAGGCAAATGCCTAGTTCAGTCGACGTTCAGTCGAAACATTGGTACTTTATGCAAAACAGCATTCTGTAATATCCCATATGATAGTCCTCTTCAAACTAGAGTTAAATAAACAAACATAGGGCGGGAACTTTACGGACACTGTATAGTGTTTTGAGAAGTACAGGGAAGGACGCGTATAACTGGATGGGTATGACGTGGTTACTGAAAGCTATTGTCAAGTGTATGAATGACTCTCGGCGGGGTTTTGGATCGGATATTGGATTCATTGACAACTTTTAACACACAACTCGTAATTACACTTAATTATAGCGGAATCGTTAAGATCCAGACTTTACAAATCGCTAGAGCACACCCTAAGACTTTTCCAGCCCGCAGTGTCTTCACTAGTGGTTTCCTGGTAGCGGATTCTAACAATGGCTATTCCTCTGCTTTCGTGATCAAATCGTCTCTAAATGGCGGCTCCCATCCAACTGCCTATTCTTGAAGTCAAATTTAAAGTTACATTGAGACTGACGGTGAATCAGTCAGTCAGTCAGTCTTGGTGTCGAGCCCCATCTGGGGCTCATGACCAGATATTTATCACTGTTTGACAGTTACGGTCTTGTTTTTGTGGAGCACCTTCTCTGAAGTGAGGATGGGTCTGTCTTTTAGAGTCACTGTCTGCAGTAGCAAATCATTTGTCATAATGTAAAGGATATTTACACTTTACATGTTAAACATATTAATAAATCTGTACATACCCTGTATATAATATATATATATATAGGGCCTCTGTTAGTCTGTCTATTCTTGCTCAAGGTGAACTCCTTATAACCTTTCGGCACGGACCACCGTAGAAAACACCATTTCCAACAGTATTTCTACTGCTGCGCGTTGACAGGTGCCGCGGAAACATGCTTCTCCGCGATCGTTGCCTAGAAACGGCTCTACACGCCACATTATGTTGGAAGAGGAAGCGTTGAAAACTTCCTCCGAACTTCTCCATTCACACGGACTGCTCAACCAAAGAGCTATTACCATCGCCGGCTATTAAGCAAAATGGTCGCGCGTCTTTGCTTCAAAATAATTGGTGTCTGAACAGGAAATGTGTTGCAGGATCTGACGTAGAGCCTACCTAATTTACTGGAACCACTAACAGATGTCTAAGAGCAAACGAGAGATCCGTGGATCTTGTCTCTACTTCAATCCAAGTTTCTTCTCCTTGCTGAAGCGGCCGAACATCTTGTTCCCTATTACTGTCTTCTTCGAAGAGGCGCCGTGCAGCCTGGGAGATCGTTACCTACATTTCTTAGGGATCCAATGCCTCAATCTTCAGGGTAGAAGAGTAAGTTTATTGTGGCGTACAGACCCGTTGCTAAGCGGTGACTCAGTAAACAGCGGCCGTTACTAGGTAACGTCCACAATACAAGGGTACAACAGCAAAAGAACTGCATTTTCTACGTGGTCCGTGCCGAGATGTTATAACCATGAGATCTGGAGCTTAGTGAGGAGTTAGGTCTGTACCGAAGTCTGTGAAGAAAGTACTTGAGCTGGAGGCAGAGGAATAGCCATTGTTGGAGCCGTTACCAGGAAACTTCTAGTAATAAACTGAGAACACTAGGCTGCGTGTTCTAGTGAACTGTAAAGTGTGGAAACAGTGATAATGTTATAATTTGTAGTTACGACCTGTAAGCGGTCAATAAATCCATTCACAAATCCAAACCCCGTCTATAGTCACTCAAACTCGTGACAATATGTATAAATTTTTGATCATTATTTAACGACGCTGTGAGTAACCAGATTACAGCGTCGATGATACGATGATTAATGAATATGGAGTAGTTCGTGGAATGATAATTGGCAGGGGAATCTGAAATACTCGGAGAGAACCCACCCCACTGCCAATTCTTCCACCACAGAACCCACACGTCCTGACCTGGGATCGAACCCGGGGTCGCAGTAGTGGTGACCCGGCGACTAACCTGAGCTATGGCACGGCGTCGAAAGAGGAAGAGGAAAGGATTCTTGACGAACCAATAGGAGCAAGGCAAATTGTGTAACGAAGGACTGTTTTCCAAGAGTAAAGTGATTTAGAGGAACAATGGCACCGAGTGAACCAATAAGAAGCAGATGTAGGTCACGAGAAACAGACTAAAGGACCAAAACTTCGGTAAAAATCTTTCAGACAATAATAGCTTGTTGCACCCTGCAATGTCGACAGTGGCAGCTGAGAGAACTTCAAAGCTCACGTGGGCCTACATGTTCCAGCTTTACGAGTCTTACATTTGTTCAGCTACTTGTGAAAAGAGGCTATAAATTCCTTCAATCCGACCTGCCCCACTTTACCGTTCGTAATTCATCTCTCTTTTTATTGGACGTTACGAAAGGTCTGCAGTTACATCAAATAGAAAGCGGCCTCCGTAGTCTAGAGGTAACGTTCCCACCTCATGACTCGTGGTACGCGGGTTCAAAACGGCGGAGGTCGTGTAATTTTTAAGGGCGGAAAAATTCAGGGAACAAGTCCTCCGGGAGGGACTTTAAGCCGTGTATCCCGTGTCGTAGCTTTACGGCACGTAAAAGAATCTCATATCTCCAAAAGAGGTCACTGAGCCAAATTCAAGGACGTTTCCCGCCCAACAAGTAGTCTCTAACACCTCTGATAGATGGGGGAAGCATTATAGATACCGCCAAGCTAGTGGAGGCCGAACTCGCTGGCTCGGTCGGGACTGACAGTACGCACCAATATCGGTAGGATATAGAGACTGGTAGAATATCATAGAGGGAAGCACAATGGACCAATACTGGTCTAAGTGCATGGGGAAACCCACCCTCTCCAATAACTAACTAACTAACTAACTAAATCAAATAGAGGAGACGACCTCCATACACGATGGGACGCAGCGAAATATATTCAATAAGCAATCGCTGAAGGCCGACTAGGGGTGGTCCTGCAGCTCGGGATTTGGGCTTACAACCCCTACAAAATTGGAATGTTAAGGAATGTTACATTGGGCCTGGAACCTGTGAGGATTTCTTGAAAATGCATAATGAGGAAGTACGTCATATTCACGCGGACAGGGTCGAAAAGAACGGATGGTCTTGTGGCAATGCTTTAGCCTCGCACTCGATATATCCTGGATTCGAATCTTGACCGACAACTTGTCCTCCTGACTGAGGAATCGCGTTCTTCCCTTGTACAGTTCTATGAAAAATAAAATATATAACTTAAGCTGTGGAACTTCATAAAGTACGTGTATTAATTTTTCCCAACCAATGAGGGGGACAATAAAAACATGCCCTCATAATTTCATTGAAAATATAAAGACTTCATGTGATCTGGTAGATTTCGGGCAATTCGGAGGCACATATTACCTCCACCTTCAGGGTCGAAGATTAAGCCATGTAAGAAAGGCAACAAGAAATATGCAGAAATTACCCTGCTTCCTGTTTGTTTAGCTTACTCGTCCATCTTGAAGATGGATGTATTCCGTTCCTCCGAAACGTCGGTTAATTCTGCCACACTACACGGCATAATATCTCAGAAGACAG